ACGGACCCGCAGCTCACCAAGGCTCGCAGGCAGGAGGATGACGACAGCCTCAGCGACGCGGGGACCTACACCATCGAGACGGACCAGGACCAGGAGGTGGAAGAGGCCCGCAAGAGGATCGACCAGGTGCGGTCGGTGGGGCCTCGCGGCTGCTCTGCCCGGGCTGCTCTTGTCCTCCCAGAGCCCCGGGCCCAGCGGGAGCTCGAGGGGGCCGACTCTCCCACAGCTGCCCCGCGCCGGGGCGGACAGTCCCGCTGGGCGTTCTCGCCCTGCCTCTCACTTCCCCGCCCGGCCCTGGAAGGTCCCAGCAGCTGCATGTCCCGGCCGCCGGCCAGTCTGTCCAACCGGGTCCCCTGCTGTCCTGGAATCGGGGTGGGGCTGTGTCCGAGCGGAGGGCGGGAGCTGGGTGCTCTGACCCGCAGGCCCGCTGTCCCTCCCCACAGGTGTTTGGTGTCCTCGAGTCCCCTGAGCTCTCCAGGGGGCCCTCGGCCATTTTCCGCCCAGTCATCAGAGGGGACAGAGATGAGTCCGGCGATGCGATGGTTCCACGGGTGTCCCTGCTGCAGGAGTTTGCCTCCCGGCCAGTGGGCCTGGCCCCGCAGGGGGAGCTCCAGGTGCGTAGACTGGGCCCAGACAGCGCCGGTGTCCGGGCTGGGCCCCGTCCTCGGGTCCTGTTCCCGCTCACTTTGAGGCTCTGGTTCTGCCTGGAGCTGGGCTCCGGACCCCACACAAGGCTGGGCTAGACGTTTTCCTGAGGAGTGTACCCGCCTGGCAGGTGGCGGGACCAGGTGTGGAGGCCTCAGCGGGTTCTGAGGCCCTGAGTCAAGTTTGGCGCCTGGGTGTGTGCTGCCCACGGGCAGGGCAGGGCTGGGCTGAGCAGCAGCTGCCGACCTCGCAGCCGCTGAATTGGCTCCGATATAGGTAGTATGTTGGGGTCCTACAGGCTCAGGTGAGGCAGCCGGGGCCTCTGGCCGTTTCTGCAGGGGGAACAGGTGGCAGACGTGGAGGTGGCATTGGGGTGGGCTGCCTTGGATGCCCCCTCATAACTCCGCCCTCCCCTGTGGGGCCCCTGCCTCCTACGGGTACACTCCTTCCTTCTCTCCGCAGGACCTCCCCGTGCCGGGCTCCCCTGGAGGTCAGAAGTGGGTGTCCCGCTGGGCCAGTCTGGCCGACAGCTACTCAGACCCTGGCCTGGCAGGTGAGTAGCCCTGGGGCTGCAGTGGGGAGAGGGCAGGGAGTGAGCTTGTGCCAGCCTTGCCTGCAGCAGGATCAGGCTCCCGTGCGCCCAGGGGCCTGCAGGCCAGCGGCTGCTCTAACTGGGCTGCCCTTGTCTTCCCAGAGGACAGCCCCGGGCCCCGAGCGGGGGAGCTCGAGGGGGCCCTGCCCATGCGCCAGCGCCGACGGCTCCCACAGCTGCCCAGCGACAGGGCGGACAGTCCCGCTGGCCCCGAAGCCGTCAGGAAGAGCGGGCCTGGGCCACCAGAGGCGGGCAGTGAGCCGGCCGGCCGCCTCCTGGGCCAGGAGGACTTGGAGCCCGACAGCCTCAGTGATGCCAGTGGATCAGACGGGGGGCGGGGCCCCGAGCCAGGCAGGGGCCCCCCGGAGGAGAGGCGCAGGAGTCCCCAGGAGGGACTGGTGTGGATGAGGGGCCGGGGCTCTCCCAGGGCCACCGGGGAGCTGTCCCCCAACTCCTTCTTCACTGCGGACCAGAACGGGGAGACTGTTTTTCCCCGGAAAACGTCTATGGCTCCAGGGGAGGTCGAGGGCCCTGGGCGGGCAGCCCAGCCCAGCACCCCCTCAAGGGACAGTGTTTACGTCAGTGCCAGTCGCAGGATGGTGATCCAGCTGCAGACCGGGCGGTCCCCAGAGCCTGAGGGTCCTGCCCAGGCCAAGGAGGCCGGGGCCTTCATCCGGCAGGAGAGCTTCACCAAGGAGCCGGCCAGCAGCCCCCCAGCACCTGGCCAGCTCCCGAACATCCCCAGCCACCCCCTCCTACAGGACTTGGCTGCAGTCCGGGCCTCACGCATGGACATCCACTCCCAGGACACCCAGCTGATCTTGAAGGAGACAGAGACGGCCCTGGCAGCACTGGAGGCCCGACTGCTCTCCAAGCCTGGGGCTGAGGCAGAGGGCAAGGTGGGCAACACCCCGGGGCCCCCAGAGGACTCCCTGTCTGGGGACTCCGATGTGGACACGGCCAGCACCGTCAGCCTGCTCAGTGGCAAGAACGGGCCCAGCCCAACAAGCCCCCAGCTCATGGGGCTGCAGAAGGAGAAGCCGCCGTCCCCGCCAGCAGCGCAGAACCTGGGGGGGGTCACCCTGAACAGCACCCGGGAGTGGCTCTCGGAGAAGCATCGTCACCCAGTGGGCCCGACGGACGCAGGCCGTGGAGAGCCCGTGCGGCGCCTGGCTGTGCGGCGTGGCCAGGGTCCCCAGGGTTCCCTGGACTGGCCCGACGAGGACCGAGGCTCTGGCCTTACCCACCCGCCTGGCTCAGACACGGTCACCTCTGACCACGAGACCCCCTCGGTCACCAGGGCAGGGCGGCCAGGGTCTCGCCGGAAACCCACAGCCCCACCGCCGTCCCCAGCCGCCCGGGAAGAGCAGAGCCGCGTGTCGGCCAGCGCCCAGAAGGTGCAGCAGGTGCTGACCCGCTCCAACAGCTTGTCCACCCCACGGCCCACGCGGGCCTCCCGGCTGAGGCGGGCCCGGCTGGGGGACGCCTCGGACACAGAGGCCGCGGACGGTGACCGGGGGGCCCTGGCCAACCACGAGCCAGCGGGGCGGCCGGCGGCTGAGCAGGCCAAGAAGCTGTCGCGCCTGGACATCCTGGCCATGCCCAGGAAGCGGGCAGGCTCCTTCACGGGGCCCAGTGACTCTGAGGCGGCCCCCGCCCGCACCGGCTTCTCTGGCCGCAGCGTGGAGTTGTCCTGCGCCGGCCGCAGGCTCACCAGGGCCGAGGCTCCGACTGCCACCCGGAAGACTGCCAACACTGCCACCGCCTCCCGCCAGCCCTTCAGCAGGGCCCGCCCGGGCAGCGCCCGATACTCATCCAGTGAGTGCCGTGGGCGCGGGCGGGCAGTGGGCCTGCAGGCCTGTCCCTGTGGGCGGGCACGTCACCACGGACTCGCACACAGGTGCACCTGAGCGGGCGTAGGCAGTGGCCTCCCGCAGCCCTCAGGCTGCCCTGTGTGAGGGCAGAAGACGCCAGCCGTGTACAGATGTCCAGGGTGGAGGGGCTCCTTCCGTCTCCCGGGTGGGCCTGCCCCTTGTTCCCTGGAGCTGGGACTTCAGGCTGGGACCCCGATGGCATGTGAGGCGTGTGTGCAGGCTGAGCCACCCACATGGGCTGGGGGCCGGGGCAGGGCCCTGTGCCCAGCTGCTGTTGGTGTGCAGCTCCCTCAGGGGTACCCTGTGAGCCCAGACTCTGTGGCCAGGAGACAGCCGTGTCTATCGCCTCACCCCGCACAAGCAGCCTGCAACCCTTGCGTGCAGCAAGGAGGGATGGGCTGCTGTGGCCACTAGCGCCAGCCTCCTGCCCAGGGCCTGGACATCCACCTCCCTGTCGGGAGCTAACCCGTGCTCCGAGTGAATTGGTTTAAGGTGTAGACGCTGCTGTTCTAGCTTCCCACCCGGCACCCCCTCTCCCACCCCCACGCTGACTCAGCCTGAGCCTAGTCCCGAGGCAGGGTGCTGAGCTGAGCGGCTCATTGGAGGAAGGGACAGGTGCCCGAGAACCATGGTTGCTTGTTTGGAATGCTGGCTTCCCCCCTCCTTTTATTGTGCATGTTCCCAGCCACCGCGGGGGAGGCTTGGAGCTGGGTTGGGCCGGGAGTCAGGTGTGAAGACCAGGCAGGTGCAGGGAGGGGTTTCAAGGAATGAACTCAGGCTCTGCCCGCTGGCCAGGCCCTGCTCAGCCACCCTCTTGGCCCAGCCCAGGGCCACACAGGGAGGATTACCCATTTGGGGTATGAGCACCACTTCCCTGCCACCGAGACGTGGTTCCCGTCTGGCTCACGTAGCCTGGCCTGTTGAAGCGCCAGGCTGCCCATCCCTGCACGTGCCTCTGGGCTGGTGGCAGCCTCGCAGACCGTGGAGCTTAGCTGCTGCTGGCACTTCAGCTGAAGGCTCTGGGTGCAGGGGTGCCAGCCACAGGGTGGCCACCCCGAAGCCCTGGGCCCTTGCCTGGAGGGACCTGGGGGCTGCTGCGGGGTGCTGAGGGCCCCTCTGTTCTGTTCTTGCTTCTGGAACCAATTCACTCGCCCAGGCACACGTCGCCGGCAGCAGGGCTCTGATTGCACGTCCACCTCTGAGGAGGAGTACGGCTCCCACCACGGCTCCCCCAAACACACACGCTCCCGTGCCTCAACAGCCACGCAGACCCCACGGGCGGGCAGCTGCACCCGGGCCCGGCCCCGGGCCCCTGGCCTCCGGGACACAGATGACGACGACGAAGAGGAGCCCGACCCCTATGGGCTCATTGTGCAGACGGCGGAGATTGCGGAGATTGCCAGGTAAGCGGCGCCCGTTCACAGTGGGAGCTGCTGACCCACTGGGGCCTCCCCTTGGGGCTGAGAGCATCCCGAGGGCAGGGGCTCTCTTCCCAAATGGGCTTTGCAAAAACTCTGGATGGATGGATGAGTGGATGGGAGGATGGATGAGGGATGTACAGTTGGATGGCTGGCTGGCTGGATGGCTGGATGGGTGGATGGATGAAGAATGAATAGTTGGATGGATGGGTGGGTAGGTGGGTGGGTGGATGGATGGATGGATGGTTGGATGGATGGATGGATGGATGGGAGGATGGATGAAGAATGAATAGTTGGATGGATGGTTGGGTGGATAGATGGATGGATGGTTGGATGAATGGATGGGGAGATGGTTGGATGATTGGATGGATGAGTGGATGGATGGATGGGTGGATGGATAGATGGGTGAGAGGATGGATGAAGAATGAATAGTTGGATGGATGGTTGGGTGGATAGATGGATGGGTGAATGAAAGGACGGATGAGGGATGAATGGATAGATGGGTGGATGAAACATGGATGGTCAGATAGGTAGATGAGTGGATGGATGGAAAGATGCAGATATTCCTGGGATGGTGAGGGACCTCCAATTCAAGGAAGAACTGCACCAAGATTTTTATTAAAGGTGTACTCCCTCATGTGGTCATTTAGCAGAAGGGCCCACCTCTAGGCCAGGTGCTGGGGAGGATGGTGCAGAAAGGTGGGCAGGGGGTGAGAGCGTGGTCTTTCTCTGAGCAATGGTTGGTGCTCAATGGCTGGGCCCTGCGGGGCCTTTAGAGGGATGGGAGGGTCCTGGGGTTTGGTGGATGGTGAGTGTTTGGTGTTGAGGATGCTGACCTTGAGCCCAGGGGGCACCCAGAAGAAGGTGACCAGAGGCAGGTGACTCCTAGGAGAGTGCCCCGTGTGGGTTTTGGAGACATGGGCGTCGCCAGGACAAGGATAGCGACTGGGCCATGGGGTTGTGCAGAGAGGACATGAGAGTGTGAAGAGAGCCAGGGCAGAGGGCCAAGGGGTGTCGGGGGTGTCACCTGTGCAGGGCGAGGTGAGGGGGCTGCAGTGCCGGCTGAGACAGGAGGTAGCAGGTGGAGGGTCGGGAAGGAGGCGCTGCACCTGGGTGAGAGGGAGGAGGGGGTGGGGTGGAGGAGAGAGGAAGGGGGGTGCAGGGCCTGGTTATGAGGTCTCTGCTCACATCCCAGCAGCTGAGTGCGGGAGCAGAGGCTGTGGGGGGTGGGGCCGACTGGGAACAGGCACTGAGGCACTGGTCGGTTTCTCACCAGGAGTTAGAGGGAAGCCCTGTGTTTCCTCTATCAAGGAAAGGTGGGGTCCTGGTGAAGGACCCCCACATCCAGGGCCCAAGGTCGACCCTGGTTGGGGGCAGAGCTCTGGTATCCATGCCGGGCAGGGGCCGGTGGTGCCTCCAGGAGTGAACGGGCCTGAGGTCGAGCTGGGAGGTGCCTGGGCGGAGCTCGGACAGCTGAGGATGGAGACCCTGGCATCCTCCTGGGAGGGGTGTCTCCTGGGGAGGGGGAACATTGAGTCCCACCCGCTCCTGCTCCCCGACCTCCTTGCACTGCGCCCCTCTGGGAAGTCCCCACGGGATCTGCCTTCTCTCCTGCCGGCTGCAGACTGAGCCAGACGCTGGTGAAGGACGTGGCCATCCTTGCCCGGGAGATCCACGACGTGGCAGGTGACGGGGACTCGCTGGGCTCCCCAGGGCCTGCCCGCAGCCCCGCCCTCAACAATGTACCCAGCACCCCAGCCTCGACCATCTCTGCCCGAGAGGAGGTGAGCCTGGCCCCAGGCCCTTAGCAGAGGGTTGAGGGCAGAGGGCAGAGGGAGCCATGGACTCTCACCAAAACCCTGCTTCCCTATGTGGCCCCAGCCACCCTGGGAGCATGGGGTCCAAGACCTGCCTCTATTGAGTGGGGGCATCTGGGGACCCTGAGCAGAGGGCTTGGGGCCCATCGCTCTCATAGCAGGGGAGGTGGTGGTCTCTCCACTTTCTGGTGGATGTTCTCCCCGCTGGGCTGACCCCTCCCCACACACAGCTGGTACAGCACATCCCCGAGGCCAGCCTCAACTTCCAGAAGGTGCCACCTGGCTCCCTGAACTCTCGGGACTTGGACCAGAACATGAACGACCGCCGTGAGGACACCCTGGCCAACAAGACTCGGCCTCGGAACCGTGAGGAGGCAGGCACCCTCCCCGCCCCCTCCCCTGACCTGGCTCATGAATGGGATCCTTCTGGGCCGGGGGAGCAGGACTTTCTGGGGGGCACCTGGGCACTGTGCTGAGGCCTGGTCCTCACAGGTGATCTTCGATAACCTGATGCTAAACCCCGTGTCCCAGCTGTCCCAGGCCATCCGTGAGAACACGGAGCACCTTGCCGAGAAGATGAAGTGAGTCGCCCCCCCCCAGAATGCTCCACTGGCTGTGGGACCCCCACCAGAAGGGAGTACCGGGGGGCCCAGCCCGACTCCCCTCAGACACATAGGAACACGGGCATGTGAGCCTGGACTGGGTGGAGCTGGTGTCCTCCCAGGGCACACGCTCCAAAGGGCACACGTGTGTGTTCCCACCGCTCCCAGAAATGGAGCCTGGGGGAGCCAGAGCCCCCAGGACGACCCGCATCCCGGCCCCACTCCCTCTCCCCAGTCCTTCCTCGCCCTGACCCGGGCCAGGCAGAAACAGACTCTGGTACCAGCCAGCCCAGGTCCTGCTCCTCCGGGCCTCAGTTTTCCCTGGGACACAGGAGGGGTGGTCTGGGAAGGGGCTCAGGTTCCATGTCACCGTCCTCTGTCTGCTCCCCCCAACCCCGGCTGGGCAGGATCCTCTTCCAGAACTCGGGGCGCGCATGGGAGGACCTGGAGGCTAGGATCAACACTGAGAACGAGGTGCCCATCCTGAAGACATCCAACAAGGTGAGGACAGGCAGCCCTGCCAGACCCCAGAGCGCCCCGGCCACCTGGCTGCAGAGGGAGTGGGGCTCCGGCCCAAGCCGGGGCCCCAGCTCCTCCCCCAAGCCCCAGGAAGAGGCCGCCTCTCTCTCGGGGGTCAGTCGGGTTCCCTCTGCTCCATCGGCCCCCTTCCTGCTGCTTCTAGGAAATCAGCTCCATCCTGAAAGAACTGAGGCGCGTGCAGAAGCAGTTGGAAGGTGGGTGCGGCCAGGCCTGGGGTGGAGGCTCGGGACCTTAGCCGGAGAACCCAGGGTGGGCGTGGGAGGCAGGGCAGGACCCTCCGCCACCTAACCCTCCCTCCCCTGCAGTCATCAACGCCATCGTGGACCCCAGTGGGAACCTGGACCTGCTGACCACAAGCAGGAGCTCTGCGGGCTCTGGCCAGCTCGGGAAAGGTCGGCCGGCTGCCCAGAGCCCAGCTTCCCCCCCTTCAGCCCTGTCCCTGAGGAGCTTCCCGCAGAGAGCCACCTGTGGGTCCCCTGGCCTCCCGGACCCTGCCTTCCTCCCCGACTTCCTTCCGGACTCAGAGAGGTTCCTGATCTAGGCGGTAGGGCCAGGCGGCCCCCCTGTGTGCGAGTGTCTGGTGCCTCCCGCTCACCCTGTCCCTGCCTCGGCCCCTCCCGGCTGTGGCCGGTTCACCGTGAAGACCCCCCACACGTGCCATAACCCCACAGGTGGGTGCTGCACCCAGGCCCCATCTCAGCTCCCAGCCAGCAGCCCGGAGGATTGTTCAGCCCCACCCCACCCCACCCCCACCCCGCT